AAATCTCGAACTTGTTGATATCTTTTAACTTAACCGGGAAACCGATACCCTCAAAGTTTAAAAGTGTGTCATAGGATGGATACGATTCCGGTATTGTCACATCACCTGTAGCAGGAAATATAGCAGCCATCACACAATAAGCAAAACACTTGTTATCTTTGTTTCGTATATTTAAAATTGCACTTTTTCTTCTAATAGGCGTTGGAAGACGAATATATGCTGAGGCAGAAATGGTAGTAAATTTATTGATGTTGACATCTAAAAACAGAATTTCCTGAAGTCCCCAGTTGGAATCTTTCTCTTGAAATTCAGATGCTTGTGTTACTATTATTTCAACGAAGTCCTGATAAATGTCGGAGATTTTAGTAGACATGCTTATAATTTTATTGCAGGTATTCATTGACTTGATATCCGAAATGTCCTTATCGGGTTTGTAAAACATGGCAAACAGTTCAAAGTTAACTTTAAGAGTTATGTGTTGTCTTAGATAATCGCCAAGGATTTGCAATACCTTTGGTTTAACATCTTGCATAAATCCACGATAATTTATTTTGTTATGTTGACTAGTAAAACGAAAAGACACAATTCGTTCCTTAAATGCGTGTGTAAGTTTAGTTATTCCACTCCCGAACACTTCAACACTTATTGGTCTTAACCTTTTTCTAGGGATAGGGCAACTCAGGTCACAACGACTAACTTGATGACGCCGCAGATTGTTCATAAAAGTAAAAGTCTTTCCGCACTTATCACATATATAAGAGCATGGCTGATCGTTGCTACATTTTTCTATATGCCGACGTAGGTTGTATATGCGCGAAAAGGTTTTACCACACTTGCATTGATTCATTTTGAAAGTATGAGATAAAACTGATGTCATTGAATCACAACATCTCTTAAATACCCCATATCCCATCCATAATTATTTAATAACCATAGGTGGGTATTTTAATTAATGACTGATTCGACATTTAATGAGTCCATATATGCACAAAACAACATACGCCCGCAGGTACTTGTATCCGAACCGCTCTCATGTCAACTCATATCCGATATTCTCTCATTTGCTACAAATGGACATGTGCAAAAAACTGGTTTTTGCTACAAATAGACAGGTGCAAAACTGGTTTGCTTGTATCCAGACTGCTCTCATGCCAACCCCATATCCGATATCCTCCCATTAACAACAAATCGGCAGGTGCAACATTTAATAAGCCTAGTTTAATAAATCTTTCATATACTGGTGCTCAAAAACTGGTTATTTTTAATAAGTTCACGTTTTAAAAAAGAAAAATTATTATTTAAACATTAGCTTAGAAACATGTTGTTATTTATAATTAAATATTTTAACAGTTCAGCGAGTACCCTACTACTATATGTAATTATATAAATTAGATTAATGTGCTGCATTAGTACAGTTTACATCAAGTACTCAAGTATGAGTTTTAGATGTGTAACACCCAAATTATTTGAAGGGTTAATTTCGCCACCAACTTTACAAGAGCTAAGCGCTAATCAAGTATATTGGTCTGTGATAGACGCAAATTATGAAATAAGTGTTGGAATTAGTGAAAAAACTAATCAGTTTACTTTTATAATACCGGAAGAAATTTCACAAAATCTTAACATCTATTCTTTAAATGAGGTTAAAAAACAAATTGTTAAAAATAATGGAGGATTTTATTAATAACGAATTTGATAATGCCATAGATAAAAAACTGATTTGTGTTAAAGAAATAAACGTGTCAAAGTTCTTGTCAGAATTTAAGAAAGACTTGTGCCTTACTTAATATTTGTATGTATCAGACAATTTTAAACTTTGTTATATGTGTTTTGCAGCAATAACATCTAATTTTTATATTTAAATATTTTTATTCCTAGTTTAGTGTTTTTATTATCCTAGTTTAATAAAAGCATAATCTAAAGCATATTACTGTTTAATATTTATTAAATAAATGTTTTTATTCTAAATTTTAATAATTATTTACCTTTTTAATTAGCAAATTTGTACATGTAAATTCAAACATTAAATAAAAATAGGAAAAACGTTTATGCTACGCCTATGCTTTGTATTTACTAATATTAAAATTCTGTCAAATAAAAAAAATTTAACAGATTTTTAATCTATTTTATTTAATAAAAATTCATAGTTATATTGAGGTATTTTTAAGTTATTCAGCAACAGATGGCGCGACCAGTTCTATTTTATATTTAAAAATTATTAAATTACAGTTAGAAAGACAGTAAGAGTAAGCTAAGCATGTTTTAAAAGACAATATGGAGTTTATAGTAATTGACCTTATTTGATGTTTAAAGTCTGAATTGCAGTGCCAAATTAGGAGTATTGATAATAGTAACAAATATAGACGTATGAGTTATTTCTTTGTTTGGAGTTTACCACTGATCAAAAATAAATGTGATTTTCTAAAGTGTTTGTATATGTGTATATGTATAAAGAAGTTTGATTTGAAACTTTCCATTGCCCACTCACAGATATTATCCTGTAGTTGTTTATGTAAGTAAAAACAAAAAATACTTTTTTCTACTTTTTGCCAATCAGAAAGTCGAATAAAGTGTCCGAATTAATGTTACTGAAATTTTTGTGAGTGAAATTTGTTTAATTTATAATCAATGTTTACTCTATAGTTTTTAATAATTGTCTTTAGTTTTCTGATAATAGATAATATAATAAGGTTCTCTGATATATATATCAGCTGTTATTTGCTAATTTTTTTCAGCAGCGTTGTCAAGTTTCAAATATATTCTAATTTCTCATCAACATTTTAAATTTAATTTAATACAATTATTTTTGGAATTAACTGATTGTGTTGGTTAGTTAGTTTAGATTACCTATGTTAGGTATTTTCGCAATAACATTCAAATTTTATTTTGTTTTTCGTTTTGGTTTAACATTTCATAAAATATGCTTGGCTTTTCAGCAAAAATTTATTTTAAAAGTGGCAACATTTACATATAAATAAGTTTTTGGTTGCCTATATTTAATTATTAACACTGGAACTTGGAAAATAAATAAAACAACATTACAAATAATAGATATATTTATTTTAATTATTATAAGTTATATTTTACAACCATGACATAGTCAATAGGTCAAAAATAAACATTCAAAGTAAGTTACAAGGTATTTTACATTGATTACAAATATAAAACTATAAATGTTTAAATGTATAAATTTGTTAGGAAATTATAGTTGATCTTCTATTTATTGTTATATAAATTGTAGGTTCTATTTTATAGTCAGTATTTAGACTAAGTGCTTCCTTCCTGCTAAATATGTGGTTTTATATTTATCAATTTTTTTAATAAGGACATTAATTTCTTCATTTTACTTATTTTATTATTCTCAAAGCAATTATTAGTTAACTTTGATTAAATTATTAGCAGAAAAAACTTACATTTTTAATTACCACTAATTTCAGAAAGAGCTTCTTTCATCATATTGTCCTGGATTGTCCTCATGGTCTGACATTTCTTCAAATACCATGTTTCGTGTGGCTGTTTTCGACGTATGGAAATTATATATTAAATTTGTTACTTTGTTTAGAGATGAAATTTGATCCTGTATTTTTGTTATATAGTTTTGAATTTTCTCTGTTTTAACCAATATTTCAGTTAAATGCTTTCTTGCTGCTATTCCTTTCATTTTATATTTATCGAGTTTTTTGATGAGGGTATCTTGTTTCTTCAATCTGATGCTTAATTCTTTGCTATTCATCTTTACGTACTTGGTGATGATTGGTTTTATTCGGTTGTTATAATCAGTTTCACTATTCTCCAAATAATTCATAGTGTAATCAAAATCATTTGTATTATTATTAGAAAAACTTACATTATCTTCATTGTCACTAAGTTCAGGTGTCTTTATTCCATTATCTGCTTCTCTCTGCCTCTCTTGGTCGGAAACATATTCATATTTTATGTTAGGTGTTGGTGTTCTGTTCATATTTGAACCAAAATTTCTAAAGCCAATTGGCATCACATTATCACAATTTCCGTAAAATATAATAGAGTTTGAACTTTCAGTACACTTAGGCACAATAATATTATTATGAATTTTGATGTTTTTCTGACCTACTGATGATGTCATGGTTGTAAAATATAACTTATAATAATTAAAAATAAGCAAGACTGATATATTTATAATATATTTTCCCACTATAAACTTTTTGGTAAAATGTGTAATTAAAGGTGAAAGTGTATTTCTAAACCACACCTTTATCTGATTTTTGTTATTGAGTACATGGTTTACAGGATGTAAATCCCTTTTGTGTATTTTTGCAGACATATACAATTACTCCTATCCATATATAGTATTAAAAACATATTTTTATTTTTATTTACATTTGCTGACTACAAATGATTACTTTCATTATTAATATTAAATATGAGACTAGTTAACCTTCACTCATTTTGGCATCTGAAATAATGAAATTTCCAAAATATTAATTATTTTACTTCATGTGTGCTGTATAAGGGCAGAACATACTTTAAATTATAATCCTGTTTGCAATTATTTTATACAAGTATCCATATTAGTAAAGTGAAGAATGCATAAATTTTAAAAATGATTTTCTTTAAATTTCTTACATGGCCTAATATGATAATTTAAATTGGATTATGCACCTTCAATTTTTCCAATTAGAGTTTTAATAATGAAATACAGAAATAGCAGATGGTCAATCAAGGTTTTTTTTGTGTAGATGCTTTTAAATCATTAAAATAAAACAATGTGAAAATAGGTTATTAAAATTGATTATACCTACTTATGTTTGAAAACTTTTATTATATATAAAAATTGTTACAATACTTATTATATATTTTTTAATTTATTCATACCAATGCCTAAGAAAAACATAAACATCAATAATATAAAATTACATTCAAGTTAACAAACGTACAAATTTTTACTTAAAATTTCTTACTAAACAAAAGTTGTATATTTCCAAATATTATTCAAAAAGAACAGAAGAGTTATATTCAATTTACAATTTAAAATTATGTACAACACTGGTTATTTTGTTTAGAGAATTTATTCCTGAATTTAAATTTTCTAGTGCATCTTGAAGGCTTTGTTTTTTTGCACTAATATGCGATAACACTATCTTAGCCTCATCTTCTTTTTTACTATATTTTTGAATTTTTTTTGTAAGCTGCATTCGTTTATTTATTCTTTGGCTTAATATTTGACTGCTTAGCCTAACAAAATTCTCTATTATTGGTTTTAGCCTTTTCTGATATCCCTGGTTTTTGGATTCTGTTATTAAGTCAAATGTTTGGTTTACATCCATGGAACTATCTAAATGGTTGAGTATGTCCTCGTGGCTTCCATCAAGGTTTATTGACTCATCAATCTCCTGGTTGACCATTTCTTCGTTTTCTTGACTGGAGTTTCCATCTTGGTTGTTATCAACTAGACACATTTGTTTTTCTAACTCGTCATCACTTTCAAGTTCGTTTTTGACACTGATAGGTGTTGACTCAAATTGTACACTTTTTGCAAATCTTTTGTAACCAATTGGTTTCACTTTACTTAAATCACCCAAAAAAACTAGAGAATCTGAACTTGAATTCAAACTTTTGTTTTGATTTAACTTAATATTGCTAATGATGTTTATGTTTTTCTTAGCTAGTGGCATGATGATTTTTAGAAATGAATTGATAAATCCAACTCAAACTAAGTATTTATATTATCAATTGCATATAAAAATAGAAATATGATTTAGCCCCTATATGCACAAAACAACATAGGCCTGAAGGTCCCCACTCATACCAACCCATATCCAATATTCTCTCATATGCTACAAATGGACAGCTGCAACAAACAGGTTTGTTTGTATCCGGACTGCTCTCATGCCAACCCCATATCCGATATTCTATATGCTACAAATCGACAGGTGCAACAAACTGGTTTTACAAATCAACAGGTTTTAAAAATTGACAGGTGCAATAAACCGGTTTGCTTGTATCCGGACTGCTCTCATGCCAACCCCATATCCGATATCCTCCCATTTCCTATCTACTTGCTTCTGCACAAGTTCATTAATGAAGTTCTTTATGAAGTGCGATAACAGTCAAAGTGAATAGTCTATCTTATGAAATAGTGTTTCTTGTAAAAGTTTTTAACCTTTTTAAGCACGAAAAACTTCTTTCTATGGAAACGCTTGTCGATGGAATTGTCAGAATTAAGCAAAACAAATTATAGGCTTCTGCAACAATGTCTTTAATTGGTTGTAACTTTATAGCCAATTCTTGCAAATTCACATTTTTGTAATTTTCGTCGGCATAAAGAAGGCAGAGCTCACTTTTAAGTCTTTGATGTTTAGTAAATTGTGTGCCATAAAACTCAAATAAATTTTGAAAAGCGCCGGAAGAGAAGGTCAAACCGTATGACTCAAATTTTGTTGTATCTGCTAAGCTTACGAATTTTAATTTATCACAATCCTGAAAATGTATATCCATTTCCATTAAAATATGATCATATTCTTGCTCATACCATCATTACAAATAAACCGTTTGGAAGTATTAATAACAGCCAATTAAAAAATTCTTTATTTCTTTTATCACTTATTAATTGACGAGTTCTCCTTATCTGGTTTAAACAAAAACTAATATATACGGACTTTATTGGAGAACATCATATAAAATATCTGTTATATGAAAAATGTAGCTAAAAACTGTTACTAAAAATGTGAACTCAAAATCATTTAAACCTCTTAAAAAACCTTTAGCCAGCTGAACTGATTTGCGGTCTGCCTCTTCAGCATTCATTATATTATCAAAAACCTCTTTTAGTTTTTCCCAGTCTTCAATGATTACACTGATTAATTTTGAATTAGATGACCATCTTGTCTCTGTAATTGTTGGCATACGTTTATCCCATGTAGATGCAAGAGCGTACAATCGTTTTGCTGAACTATGAAAAAACGATGGAACTCCGGTAATAGTTGCAAAAAATTCGACATTTTGATATTTTCTTAAAGTTCTGTTGCAAAACAAGATTAAGTATAATTAATATAATATAATTAATACTGTGACTAATCTAAACTAATAAATACACTACATAAACTATACTGTATAAAAAATATCTATATAATAGACTAAATTTCAAAATATCGTCGCTGAGAGAAATTTCCGAAAAATAGGAATACTACATACACATTAAACTAGTAGGTGAAGACGGATAGTTTATTTTTCAATTGATTTGCACTTGCCAGTTTTATTAGCTATCACTAACGACAGGCTGACGTCACGTTGCCATGGCAACCGTGAACGCTTGTGCAGATGAATTCCGCATTTCAAAAATGATATCCACTTATTCCTGAATCGTACACGGCTAGTAACACAGGTCAGGACTTGACCGTCAAGTACCTACCGCTAATAAAGCTTTATCATTTTTAATTTTTAGAATAATTAAAAGAGAATAAATAATTAATTACAGAATTTAGATATAATAATGTTGCTTTTATTTTTTATTTATTTGTCTCAATTTAATTATATTTTTTCGGTGAACCTCACCTTCACCTAGCTGGCCGCTGCTGTATAACAACGTTTTGTAAAATAGCTCTAGCTTTGTTTTCTATTTACTCTAAGGTACTTATATTTGATAGACATGAACAAAATATGTTAAACAATCTACAGCTGAATTTAATATTGAATGACGTGTTCATTAAACTTTCATTTGGCTCAAATAAAATTCATGTTTTATATTACCATTTTTTGTTAAATTTTATTAGCATATTTTAAGGGCACGATAAACCTAAATTTAAGTTGAACTTTATTACAGATTAGTGTATAATATATTTTTTATAAAAAGTATCAATTAATTTTTCAGTTATAGTCTTAAAATATATGATAATTTTTAAAACAATTGCCGGGGTGTAAAGCAAGACATCCTGGGAACATCCTCCAGAAGAATTGAACAAATGTGAAAGTATTTATAAGTTCGAATTGTTTTTAAATTCCCTTTGTGCGATTCTTCTCGATCGACAATAATAAAATAAAATGTTCAAGTCGTGGAACATAGTAAAATATAGTTTTATTGACAGATACTAAATGATAACAATAAAAAAAGTTTGCCATTGATAAAAACAAATAAATGTCTGTATCAAACGTATCCAATTGTTTTGCAACATTCTAATAAATTCGTCACAGCATCTATAAAAGCCAGTGTCAAGTCCATTATTATGACAGATAGGATATTGTAAGTGCAAACAATTATTTGTACAAATAAAAAACAGGAATATAGAAACTAAAATTTTTAATTGTAAAAATTTATAATAATTATTATGTATATACAAATATATAAAATTTTTTTTTTTTTTTTTTTTTTTTTTTTTATTTCGACTTTAACGTGCTCGGCTGCTATGGCCACTTACACAGGTACTATAACATGAGTTTTCATTATACAAACAATAAATGTTACATTAAGAATATGTTACAATAATACGGAATGATAATAATATGTTACACAATGTCTAAATTAAAATCTAATTATATTTTTTGATATAAGTGTTCATCTCTAAGGAATTGTAGCACAGCTTTTATTTGGTCAGGGTCGCTTAGGATATCTCGTACTTCACTTTTGAGTTTGTATTGTAATCTTCTGGCCGAATGTTGATGGCATTCAGTGAGAATATGTTTGATTGTCAAATATGATTGGCAGCTTTGACAGGAGGGACGGATGCTAGAGGACATTAGGTAGCCGTGAGTGAGTTTTGAATGTCCTATCCGAAGTCGTCTTATCACAATGAGATCTCGTCTTGACAGGGCTGAATAGTCAAATGTAGGCTGACTGGTTATTGACGGTTGTATTTCGTGTAAGATCGAACGGTTATAGTTCCAATGCTGCTGCCAAAGGAGTCTGGTTCTTCTTTTAGTATATAATTTTAGGTCCTTACAAATTTGAATTTTATCGGTGATTTCAGGTGATGCTGTAGCAAGTTTAGCATAGTGATCTGCAGTTTCATTGCCTTCTATACCAATATGAGATGGCAGCCAAATTATGGTAACTGTTATGTTTTGGGACAAGATAATTTGGTAAGAGTCTAGGATCTTTTGGACGATTGGATGATCGGTAAATATATTTTTGATAGAATGGATTGATGCTAAAGAGTCTGTGCATATGGCAACCTGCTTATTAAGTGGAGATATGTGGTTGAAAGCTTGCAATATACTAAATAATTCGCCAGTATGAACGCTGCTAACGGATGGTATAAGTGATGATTTAATTAATGAATGAGAGGTTGTGACAGAGCAGCCTACTCCTGTGTCATTTTTTGAGGCATCCGTGTATAATATTAGGTCGTAACTATTTGTACATATAATGTCTTTAAATGCATTTATAATGATCTCTTTCGGATGTTTATTTTTATCGAAGTTGGTGAGCGAGGTGTTAAATTTGGGCGTGGAGATGATCCAAGGAGGAGATATAGGGGGATAAAGAGGAAGGGTATGTGTAAGAGAGATATCATTAAGTGTCTGTGCTAAAATTAGTGGAATAGGTTTTATTGGTGGTAAGGAATTGGTATTGTGTAAATTGTATGTGGACATTACAAATAAGGGATGCACTGGATTAGAGGGGTTAGCTGATACCGATGCTGCATAAGAGAGTAGCAGTTGTTTTCGTCTTATATAAAGAGGAGGTTCGTTAGCTTCGCAATAAAGATTATCTATAGGACTAGATCGAAAAGCGCCAATACAAAGACGAAGGGCTGTGTTGTGAATTGAGTTTAGAAGGTTAATATATGTTTTGGAGGCGGATATATATATGTGACAACCATAATCTAGCTTGGAACGTATTAGTGATCTGTATATTTTAAGAAGTGAGTTTTCGTCAGATCCCCAATAATGATGTGATAAAGTTTTTATTATGTTTAGTCTTTTGCACGTTTCTCCTTTTATTGCAAATATATGTTGCTTCCAAGTTAGTCGTGCGTCAAACGTTAATCCGAGAATTTTGCATTGTTTAACAACAGGAATAGGGACATTGTTAATCAAAATAAGTGGAGATGGAGAAGGGGGACGTCTACTAAAGTTTATAATTTTAGATTTTACATAGGATAAAGATAACCCCATGTCACTAGTTTTTTTTAAAAGTGTGTCAACAGCAGCTTGAATAAGCTTCGAGGTGGTAAAAGAGTTTTGTCCATGACAGTAAATTACTAGATCATCAGCATACATGATTTGTTTAATAGGGGAAATGAGATGAGAGCATAAATCACTTATTGCTAGATTAAAAAGTGTAGGACTTAGTACCGATCCCTGAGGTACGCCATCAGTTTGAGTATAAGTAGAAGATAAAATACCGTTGACAGAGACTCTGAACGATCTAGAAGATAGAAAATTTTGTATGAAGTTAAATATATTACCATTAATATTAAGAAGGATAAGTTTGTTTATTAAACATTGCCTACTTATAGTATCAAAAGCACCTTCAATATCAAATATGGCAGCTACGACTTCTTGTTTTTTGTTTAAGGCTTCTGATATATGAGTTTGGAGGATTACAAGGTTGTCTTGGGTTGAACGGTTTCGACGAAATCCTGACTGTTCACTAGCGAATATCTTATGTTTTTCAATGAACCATAGAAGTCTTTTATTAATCATTTTTTCAAATATTTTGCACATCGTACAAGTTAGTGATATAGGCCTATAAGAGTTGGCCAAGGAACGATCTAGGTTAGGCTTTTTAATGGGTATTACGATAGAGGTTTGCCATTGTTTGGGAAATTGGTTAGATGACCAGATTAAATTATACATCTCAAGTATTTTGAGTAGGCTACAATTGGAGAGCTTTTTGATAAATATGTAAGGAATGTCGTCAGGACCAGCGGCATTGTTTTTACAGGTTTGAATAACTGATACTAGTTCTTCAAAAAGAAAGGGAGAATTAAGATGTGTGATGTCCATTATTGTATCGGGTGAGGAACAAGGTGGGGCGTTAGGTAATGGATTTCGTAAGGAGGTATCTATTTTACTTTTAAATTTATTGTCGAAGTGCTTTGCTAAGGTTTCGCCGATTTCTTGATTGTCAGTGATTGTAGTGCTATTTACAGCAATGCTAGAGATTTTGAGGTTGGTGTTGTTTCCTTGGATTTGTCTAATCTTTTTCCAAAGATCCACCGGATTGGTTCTTGAATTAATGGAAGAAACATATTCTCTCCAAGATGATTTTTTACTTTGTTTTATAATAAATCGGGCTTTGGCTCTGGTTTTCTTTAGTTCAATGAGATTCTCCAGATTTTTGTTTTTACGGTAATTTTTAAGAGCTAATTTTTGTTGTTCTGTTGCGGTTTGGCAAGATGTATTCCACCAAGGTACTGCCTTTCTTTTATGTGAAATATTATTTTTGCCTATGTGCAAATTTGCAGCTTTAAGTATGGAATCGGTGATTAATAATAGATTATTGTTAATATTGTCGGATAGGGATAGAAAAGGTAAGGTGTTATCTGTTTGTGAAGTATAGTCATTCCAGTCGGCATTTTTTAGTCGCCAGAAGTTTCTGGTTATAGTTTGTTCATGGTTGGAGCTATCAGATGATACAAATATTGGAAAGTGGTTGCTGTCATAAAGATCATCTGAAGTTTTCCAAGATAGTGAAGTATATGTTTTTGGGTCGCTAAAACTAAGATCTATAGCCGAAAATGTGCCAGAGGAAAAGTTCAAATGCGTATTAGAGCCTGTATTTAGTAGACAGGAGCCTGTGCAATTGATAACGTTTTCTATAGTTTTACCTTTGCTATTAGTGTGGTTTGACCCCCACATAAAGTTATGAGCATTGAAGTCACCTACTAGAATATATGGAGCGGGGAGCTGATAGATAAGATTTAGAATTTCGATTTCTTGAAGAGGGTAGTTAGGAGGAATGTATACACTGCATATCGTAAGTTTATTTGGACACCAAGTAGTTACGGCTATAGCCTCGAGTTCCGTGGTGATGAGGAGATGGGATGAATATATTTCACTGGAAATAAAAATAGATGTCCCACCACTGGCTCTGTTACAATTAGTTCTGATATAATGGTATCCTTCGAACTTTTTTAATGTGGGAAGCTTAGATATTTTTGAGTTTGTTTCTTGTAGACATATGATATCAGGTTGTTTTTCTGTCACTAGTTGTTGGATTCTTTCAATACGGGGAAAGAACCCATCGCAATTCCATTGGATTAAAGTGAAGGTGAAGCTTGAGTTGAAGGGGAAAGGGTCAACTGAGATGGTTGTTCTGGCTGTTGGGAGAGGAGGGTATTGGTTTCATTATCGGTTAGAAGTTCAGATGAGACGCTGATATTATCAGAGTCATCTGAGTTTAGCTGTCTTTTGATTTTCTTTTGAAGTCTGGTAAGTCGATTTTTAAGGGATCTTTCCTTAGTTTCTGAATGGAGAACTGTTATGTCGTGTAAGAGTCCTTCAATATTTGAAGTAAACACAAAAGCTTCATTAAGTGGACTAGGATTACCATGTGTATTTTCTAGGAAAGCAATAAACTGAGTCTCGGTCAAAGTTAGACCAGATGGATTATTTTCATAAATGGCCGCTACGGATTGTAGTGAACTAGCTGTTAGAATATGTTCCTCTGATTTTGTAGTTTTTGTTTTTTTCTTGTGAGGTTTGGAGACAGTGTTTGTTTTTGTGGATAACGGAGGAAACATTTGGTTAGACGGTGGTTCGGGTGTACTTGCTGAAGATAAAAGAGAAGGAATATCAGAATTGCTGTCTGTTGATATAGCTCTTTTTTGTCTTTTTGTGGGTGGAATTGATGGGAGTATAGTTTCAGTATCTATGTCAGTAGGGGTTTCTGTGCAGTTTGGGGTAGTTAGGTCTAATTGATCAGGAGTGCTTACGTCAGAAATTATATCAGTAGTTTCAGATGAAGAGGGCTCTAGATGGGGTAGTTCAGTTTGAGAAAAAGTAGTTGTATTATTGGTACATGAGTCAGCGGTATGTCCGACCTCTTTACATAAAAAACAATGCAATTTATCCGTAGAAATAAATATTCTATAAGGAGTGTTTTCGTATGTAATAACGAAGTTACTATCTAGTGAAAAGTTCTCCTTATCGGGGATAATATACGTTACTCTTCGGAAGCTCATTATGTGTGCATAACCTTCTCCGAGTGCACCACATTTCACAAATGACACAGGAGAGACCAGCTGTAATCCAATATCTTTAAGGGCTTTCTCAATTATGGAATGTGGAATTGAAGGAGATACGTTAGATATAAGAAGGCGTTTAGCTGGGGTGATAAGTCTTCTGATGGGAACTACTGTAGAGTTGATAGAGATATTTTGATGTGTTTTTAGAAGGTTATCAACAACTGTAGGCGAGGAAAGATAAATACAGATGCGGTTATTTGGGATACGTGATGCAAAGGTAATATTTTTTGGGATTACAATGTCTCCTATAGCTTTAACATAGTCAAATAAAACAGTATTTGGAATAGCGTGTATTAAAATGGCTTGCTCCTTCCGTGGGAAAGTAGGAGGTGGAGGTTTGGATAAAGTAGCAGCGACATATGATTTTGTGGGGTGGACTTGTGGAGTTATGAGTTTTGGATTTGGGTTCATTATTGTGAGTGTTCCTGGATACCAAAAACACTTCACTTAATTTTTAATATTGGAACAGACGTCCTAGTAGGACACTGTGGGTAAAAAATAGTGATATAACAGTTACCTGTATCTGCAGTTTTCGGTCAGTTGAATATAATAATATTATAGTTCAATGATAATTGCTGTTTCCATAACACACAAAATAATTCGAATTTTCACATAATTGTTACTGGTTCGTAAACTGGTAGAAATCGATTATTACCGATAAGGCACGGTAATGTTTACTCGTAGGCTACCTGAGTGGGAATTTCTTCGTATTTTTAACTCGTCGGTGGATTAATTTATCTGTTTAATACTGTTTAAATCTTTAAAATCCGTGAGGAAATTTAAAATGTGTATTTAAAACTTTGACGTTTATTTGACAGATAAATATATAAATTAAATTATGTACAAATGAGAGTTATTATAACCACAGAAATGCTATGAGTTTATCACAATTCACTTTATGACACAAAATTGAGCATTATGATTAAAGTTGTCTATTTTCGACATATTTTCACAAATACCTAGTAAGTACTAATAATTTAAGTTTTATAGTTCGTGATTAAAAAATTATAAATATGGCTAAAGTCTTGAGAACGTTCCGAATGAAGGTAGCTACAAACGAAGGGAATTTTGTATTTGGCAGTGTTTCCATGTCCTGATAATAAATCAGTATGCGACATAATATTAATTTAATTAAACATGAAAATAAAATGATAAAATAACGAGAAAAATAAGTTATAATTTATTTCATTATAGATACTAAAGTTAGAAAGTAAATAATAGAGTAAATTCTGCTGTAGAGATTTTAATACATATTTTTACTTTGTTATTATCTATATGAAAGTAAGCCACAATCCTTCACAAAATTATTTAGTGTAACCTTTCAACGATTTGCCACGAAAATAAATCTAAGATTTACAAATTTACATTTTATGGATTAAATTGCCAATAACGATAGCTTAATCTGTGCAATGTAAATTTGAAAAAATGTTTATTTTAATGATTGCAGCTCTGTTGTTCATAAAATTGATATCTGCTGAACATCTGTTGTAATTTGCCAACTAGTGTTTTAAAGGTTCTGACACTATTGCCAAATTTATCCGCTAATCTATCAAAGAGCAAATACATTTTTTTTATTACTCAGTGCAATTAATATCGAAAGAAACAAATATTCATTCATTCGTGTTTCATATAAATTAAAAAAAGTTAAAAAAGACCATATTCCACAATAAAATATTATTAAAAATGTACTGTTTCTAATCTTTCTCTGTGTATATTTGGGACATAAAACATATACATAATAAGGACATGTCAATACCGCAACGCAAATTTGTAATTAACGAAGTTTCTTTGTAGCTAAATTCATTCGAAACGTTCTCCAGACTTTAGCCATAAATATTATACTCTGTTAGGATATTATAGATTTTCACAAATATCCAACGCCACATTACTCCATTAGTAGCAATAAAAACAACAAGGGTAAGTGAAAACGGTAAGATTGGAACAGGAAATAATTGGAACAAAATCTATTGCTATTTATAGATATGTAGCTACTGGAGACTCTTCTAAACTATTTATAGTTGATACCAACATTTTATTTGGGTTCTCTTATTTTTACACGAAGTTTGCAAAAAACTATCCATAATTTTAAACCATCTAACTTTAGGTGTATAAACTTGATCAGAAGAACACCCAGATTTCATGCTCCGCCTATTGTTTCCTAATTCTTGTATAAAGGAACTACGCAAATTTTAATTTTTATTATTACATGGATTTCTGTAAAAAACCAACAAGTTCCATTGCAATAGCAATTTTATTTGCTGCTATTTCTTATAATCCTCTCTGGTCGAATCCCATCAAACTGTCAATATACAATACGCACAATCAAGATACCAGAAATAGATTAATCTTTGTATGCTATATAGTGGAGTATATAAACGAGAACATACTACCCTTCGGCTTATATGATTGTTCCATGCTACTCTTCTATTTCTTATCCCGTTCTTGATGTTCTCCACCTGATCTTTTCAAGACTTACTCGTACAAATCTATTTCTAGCCATTCTCTTTACATGGTCGCAGTAGAAACGACGTAGATGTCTCTACTATCTAAGTAATGTCGCCAGAATGTCATTCAATTAAACCCTATCGAGTAAATTTTTCAAGTTTAGCAAGCAGACGAATATTACTTTGTTACGTACGATGGCCATAAATCGATTATGGTAATATTGCTTTATATATGGCTTATTATTTCCCCTGGTTTATCAAGATCATTGCACAAAACTTGTAAATATAACTTCAATTACTTCTATGGCTTTCCCAAGTACAGCTTTATGTAGAACGGTATCACCTCTATTATTGCACTCGTTAATATCTAATTTCTCAGTTTTTAACAAATAGGTGAAAGCTTTAAGGGAATTGTTGAAAGCTGCAGCATGAAGTGGTGTATTGCCATATATATCAACTACAGTTGGACTCATATTACACTCATCAAGTAGATACTTTAGTACTTTCATAGAGTTTTCACAAGCAGCTCCGTGTATAACAGTTTCGCCTTTTAGGTTACATGTCTTAATATCCAATTTTGTGCATTGTAATAATAATTTAAAACTTTCGAATGAATCGTTGCAAGCTGCTTCGTGAAGTGGAGTATTGCCATTTTCATCTACAATATTGATGAGGTACTGACAATTGTTGACTAAGAAGGCTAAAGCGTCTACAGAATTTCCTCTACTAGCTTTATGCAAAGCAGTTTGTTTAATATTATTTGTAATATTAAATAAATGTGCGTATGCAGGTTCTGAGTGTAAGTATTGAATTATTTTTGTGGCATTTCCGTATGCAGCTTTGTGAAGCACGGTATCACCTGTATTGTTCCGATCATTTACATCTATTTTCTCGGAATGAAGCAGATACTTGAATGCTTCCAGTGAGTCATTGTAAGCCGCATCATGAAGAGGTGTATTACCAAATTCATCGACTAACTTTGGACTTAGTTTATAGTCATCTATAAGAAACTTAAGCACTTCCATGGAATCTTCATATGCAGCCTTATGAACTACCGACTCGCCACGTTCATTGCGTTGATTAACATCAAGTTTGGCATGAATTAACAAATACTTAAAAGTTTCTAATGCATCGTTTGAAGCTGCTGAATGCAGAGGTGTATTTCCATAGTTGTCAACTAGATTTAACTTTGTTTCTGCACTAGTATTTCTATTAAGTCCGGTAGTTAAATATTTAATTACATCTATTGCATTGTTAGAAGCTGATCTGTGTAATAAACTAACACCTCTCTTATTTTTAGCAGTTAAGTTTACTTTGTTGTTTTCCAAAATTATTAGAGCATTGAGAGAATTGTTTTTAGCTGCATCATGGGCAGGAGTATTACCATATTTGTCAGGAACATCACAAGGTAATCTACAAGTGCATATTAAAAATGTTAAAGCATCTGCAGCATCTCCCCTCGCTGCGCTGTGGATGATTGTATCACCATCGTTATTTTTTTGTTCAAAGAGATGTTTGTAGTCATCTTGTGAATATAGATACTGGATTATTTTTAAAGCATTTCCACCCGCTGCGCTATGTAGAATAGTGTTACCTTTGTTGTTGCAGTCGTTAACGTCCAATTGCGTAGTCTCTAATAAATATTTGAAAGCTTCGAAGGAATTAGTGGAAGCTGCTTCATGAAGAGGTGTATATCCGTATTTGTCAACTAGTTTTGGATTTAGTTTATATGTATTAATTAGACAAGTTAATATACTCATAGCATTTCCTGCAGCAGCTCTGTGTATAAGGCTTTCTCCGTCTGTATTTACAGTACTTAAATTCAAATATTTATTTTTTAATAATACGCTTTCATTCTGTTGATCCAAATCATTTAATATTTTTACTGTTTTTGGTGGTTTATTCGAAGCCACAAGTGAGGAACTATTCACACACAGTAATTCGCTCTGTTCGAAATATTCAAGTATATCAAGGGAGTCAAATTGGCAAGCATAATGAAGCGGTGAATCTCCATTTTTGTCTACAGCCGTATACTCAAGTCCATATTTTTCAATGAGTGTTTTAAGTAAAGTAAGAAAACCTGCTTGTGCAGCCCAATGAACAGATGTATCTTCATCTTTATCTTTAACGCTTAAATGCAATCCATGATTTTTTAAATAATCAATCAAATCCAGAATAACATCATATTCTACCTTAGAGCGAATACGGTTTTGCTGATCTCTTCGTATAAGTTTCAAATACTCCTCAAAAAACGTTATTGTTTTAAAATTCTCTCTATATTTCATTTTCTCAAAGATCATATTAAAATATGTTTTGTATTTGTCTGAGTCCCAGCACATCATTATGATGTAATGAAATACGGTCAGTCCATTCTCATCAACGCTGTTTATTTCAGCACCTTTTTTTACTAAGTACTTGACAAAATGTGGATAGTGAGCAGATAGGTGCAATGCAGTTTCACCAGAAGAACCCCTATGATTAATAACTTTGGAAAAAGCATCGTATTCGTGAAATACAAAATTGACAATATTAAAATAGCCTTGAAATACTAAAAGTGATATACTTTCTACCCATCTTTGTTCACTAAGTACCCGACCAAACTCTTTACTTATCTTACTGAAACATATATCCCCCACTGATCTTATGGTATTCAGAATTTCTTCAAAGAATCCAGATACACCAGCATACTGAATATTAAGAAATAGTTTGTTAAGAAGAGTTAAGAGCATAGAGTCGCTTCTACGTTTATGACTGAGAAAATTCCAAATATATTCGGCAGCGAAGTATTCTTCGAAACTTTTGTGAATGAATTTAAATTCTCCGTTACTTTCTTCGAATATCCCAATTGAAAGCATCGATGTAGTTATAGAAGGGGATATATCAGTATTAAAACATTCTTGTAATTCTCGTGGAAGGCTCTTACTAGCAGCAAACTTCCTTGTTTTTGTTAAGTACGTATCAAATGCATCTGTTACTACAATACTACTTTTGTCACAAGTGTCACCTTTATGTTGTTGAATAAACGTGTTTTTCTTCTCTTCTAAAAAAAGCCTATAAAATTCATACACACTTAACGATTTAGAAAATATTTTGGATATATGTTCTACATGGTCCTCGTTATTTAGTAATATATCAATTAATAATCTTAATGCAAATGGGGTTGAACAAAATTTGTTAATTCCAGGTGCTTGTGCTTTTAAATGGTGAAACACATCTTTTGTTTTTTGTACGCTAGTTGCATTTTTAAATGTTACATACTTTTCAAAAAAAATCTCTTGATCATTTTCACTAAACGGCTCTACCACAATTGTTTCCACGTTAGGCCTATTTCGAATTTTTTTTAAGATAAAATCATAATTCCTGCAAGCCATTATAACTAATGAAATATTCAGATTCTCCGACGTTGAGCAATCTTCAAGCAAATCTTGCACTTGATGAATGTACTCTGAATTATTTTCGTCTATTCCATCGATTACTATAATCTTCTCTAAAGATTTTAAAGCCTGAATGTCGAAATTACCTCTAATATCTTCACTATAGATTAACAAACCCAAAAGACTGTGATTCAAACTTTTATTTCGTAGATACTCTGCCGCTCTTGATAATTCTATATTTATTATCCACGTCAGTCGAGAACAATTCTTATCTTTCAACTTTTTAGATAATACTATATTTTCTAAAAGAGTTGTTTTGCCAGCACCTAGGGGGCCAGTTAGTACAGCTACCTTTTTATTAATTGTTTTTAGTTGATCAAGTAGGAGTTCTTCAGAGAATAAATTCTGAAAATCCCTACTTAAAAGTCGAGGCACATAATATTTTTTTGAAGTTATTGAAGGTATTGAAGATTTTCCTAAAGACAAAGGTTCCTCTTTAATTAATTTTAAAATAAATAATTCGTCAATAAGATATTCTATTTTACAAATTGTTAATATATCATCTAGTATAATCTGCCGACCCTGGAATTCTAAAATTGTTGGATTTTCCAAGTCTGAGTTATCATACGATAACTTATTTTTTATAGATTCGACTAGTTCTCTGTACGAATCTCCGTTAAAATCAAATGGTTCTCCTGTAGATTTAACCAAAGAACAAAGATAAGACTTATCCGTTATATCTAAGGACTGACAACCATTCATTAAATTTAACACTTTACAATTATTTAACAGATGTTTTAATGTTATAGCTTCACCTTGAAATTCAATAGTCCTGTTGCAAACTCTTTCTCTTGTGTCTTCATCGAATAGATTTAAGCGGATTTGATCGTTTTCGACATTTTTATCTTGAAATCCGAATTTTTTTGCCACAATGATAACCTTCTTTTGTTTATTAGTGTCTAATATTCTCGATATTTTTGTATATATTTCTTTACTTTCATTCTCGTCCATTTCCAAAAAGGAAACAACTAAATATTTAACATTTTTTATTTCAAACCATTCCACTGCATTTTCAATGGTTTTGTAATCCGTCTGTAATGCTAGGAATAATACTTCTTTGAAGAACATATCATCGGGTTTGTCTTGTTTTGTATAAATCAATTTTATACTGTTAACTATTTTGGATAAATATAAATCAAAATTGTGTTCAGCTTTGACTAGATTAATGGATAGAGAGAACTGAAAGGGATTTAAAAAAGAGATGTCGTAATTTAAAAACTGTTGAATACATTTATCATTTTTCTCTCTATACCAAACAAATTCCATATATTTTTTCGTCATGTAAACGGAATTTTTACAGCCCAAGTTGCGCCAGTAGTGAATATCATTTATTATATACAATTTTTTTAACGAAGGTTTTTTTTTCTCCATGCTCGTAATGAGATCAGAAATCCGTTTATCATTTTGTTCTTCACTTACTTTGATGACTAGAAATTTGGACATAAACTCTTCAATATCATTATCATTTAAAGATATATTTCGCCATGCAAGTTTGTCTTTATCGTCGTCGCTAATATTTTGTTGATAAGTTTTAACTTCGTCAAATTTTTTGCGATGTTCTTCTTTAATAGTACCTATCGTTACTTGATTTCCAAATATTTGATTTATTATAATATTTTCAGAAGTTCTTTGAGTATTAAATATGCTATCTGGTAAATTGGCATTGGTACATAATATTATAGCATTCATCTTGAACTTTTTAAACTTCCATTTTATATCATTATATGATAGAATATACTTATAAATACTAAAATTATCAGATTTTGGTTTATTTGACCAGAACTCTCGATCAGAGACTTGTTTGTTGTCCTTAAATTTTGCCTGTAGTAACAAGCACTCATTATCAACTTTAAATACCAAATCATCGAACTTTCCTGCGTCGATATATTCATTTGCCAAGCTCCAGTTGTCCAAATTTTTGAACGCAGCTACTGCAAATAGGCAATGGAGTTTCCATTCATAGTCAGTACCTAGATTTGCAACTGGGCCTTTAGGATATTCTCCCACCGCTTTTTGTGTTGGTACATTTCGAGTCTGCTTGGTCTGAAACATATAAAAGTATAAATAAAACACAAGTGTATAACTGGTACAAAAATATAATAACAGAAAAACTTAAAGAAAGAAAATTTTAAGTATATTAAACAGTATATAAGTAAAACGAAAAACAAACATTAATCTAAAAAAATCAAATCTTATAGATATTTTTAGATAGGTTAATTAAGATTGAGTTTAAGTTCGAATTCTATTTCAAAAATATTTATAATTTAAATTTATACTACCAAATGTTTATAGTTAATTTCAAGGATTTTGTCCGATGACTAATAATTCTACTCGAGTTCATTTCTATTGGTCTTTTTCGTCACGAGACCATGTTTCAACCAATAGGCAGAGAGGTGACAAACACGTATATTTATAGATTGTTACTTTGGTGCGAAATTCATATGCGGAATATTAAATATTAGTAGACCAAAAAAGAGGACTTTTTATTAAAATTAGTAAAAACGAGACTGATTTTCAAATATTTTTAATGTATGATAAAAGAAAACTAAAACAATCCAATAAAAAATAAAACAAAATCTAGTTAAATAAATTAAAAAATATATTAAATATCATTGTCATTTGACATGTTTAGTACCTAACAAAAGGGTGCATTGATTAAAAACAAAACAATTCCTTTTTGGTTACTCATTTGTTTTTTGTAATAAAATCAACTGCTAAATATCTTTTATATAATTTTTTTTGTATACAGTCGTTATTTACCGAGATATATACTATATTTCATACATAATGAGAAATATTCATAACATATTTACTTAAGGACGGTTTGCCAGGTATTGTAAGTATAATTGGCGAGCATTATCATAATCTAGAATCAGCTCAAAACCTTTCATACCTTCGTCCATCAGCTATTTTCTTATTTTAATAATAAAATGAAAATTAAACAGTCTCTAGTTTTTTATGAGTCCAAAGTTGAATTTGAATTTGGCTTTGACAGTAAACTTGTAGCAAATTCAGAAATTAATCCAAAATATCGTACAGTGCAGCATTGGCAGAATATATGGAGAACTGAAAGTTTGGGACATCGCGATGGAACTGGAGTTTTAGAGGTAAAGAGAGTGTCGGTAAAAATCTCTGAAATTACTGACCTTTTCGGTTTTTTTTAGAAAATAAACAAAAAATTGTGGTTTATGAAGCAGAAGAAATTTAAGTACAATATAATGAAAATCCGTTCGCCATCATTGTTGTAACACCTATTATTCGACGAGCACACGATCTTCCATATGCAAAAGATTTTGTTTTTACAGATACCACAGCTTTTTGCGATGCATTAAACCATTCGGTTTCGTTTATGTTAACCTCCTGTAGAATAGGAGCAGTTATTATTACCAAGGGTCAAACCAGTGAAGATTGTGCTGCAGTATACCCACAGCTTTAAACGGTCAATAAATGCCTTCGGTGAAATGGGTTATCCTAAAATATTTGCATCAATAGAGCTTTTTAAAGATATAGTTCTACATAGAAACAAAGCTTGTAATGCTATAGCTTGAATGGACTTTAGCTGTACTGACTTAGAAGAATATTATAGGAGACAGCTTTGAAATTTTGCAAATAGTAGAGATCAGCACCAAGGTTAATCTTTAAAAGGCAATTAAAAAAATTAACAACAGGAATTAAATTATCTAAAAATGTATACCAAGTTCCTAGTGAGCAAAATAATAGTGTGCTTTGTGAAGACAATATAGCAACAGAATTTTGCATCTGCAAAATTGGAATATTGGGGATTGGGAAAAGAGTTTTGCAATCAAAAAGCTTTTTTAATAAGTCTTTTGGCAATATTTCATCTACTAATCATGAAGATCGATAGCTAAATTAGCTTTTGACGAAAAAGTTCAACCTTTTTTATTTTATAGTTTGCAGGATCCAGCGACGGATCAAGTGATAACATTGAAAAAATGTTACAGAATATATTATTTCAAACAATGAAACAACTGAAGAAAAATAATTTTCTTTTAAAGATTTTATTGATACTCTACAATTTAAAAAATGTTACATTTGAAACTGATTCAGAAACGTTTAAATTATTGGACTAAAGATTATGCCACATCTAAACAAAAACGGCTGGGAAAAGTTTTTTAAGCACGGTAGGAATTTCCTCGGCAAGGCGATTTGGACACAAGGCCAATATAAGAGTGCAGCCAACTTCAATCAGCTTAACAAAGTTGAGAGTTACTAGAGAGTCAAAAATATTACCATTTGGACGACCACCTTAAGATGAACCTACTAAAAAGCCGTCATAATCTTTTATCTAACATCGCAGCAAATCAAACAAATGCAACTAAACATGTCAAAGGACATTAAAGTTTAAAAATTTAAAATTTTTTATAATTTATTTAATAAGTAATTTTTAAGTAATTTTCATTTTTTCATGGAGACACATACACAAATGCGTCATAAATTAAATGTATCGGTTAGCAATTAAGAGAATTACAATATTGGACCATTATTTCTTGAGGGAAATCTCAACGGAACAACGGACTTAAATTTGTTAGAAGACCACATTATGATATACGCGTAAGACAATTTTTGAATCAACGTTTTCCAGGGCCTTGGATTGAGAGAAGTGGTCCAATAGAGTGGCCGACCAGATAACCGGATCTTTCACCTTTGGACGATTTTTTGTGACACCGGAGGTTTATTCAAATGTACAAAGAGGCTTTGAAAATATACTGTATTATTGTATTGAGTTTACAGAAGGTCACTAAGAACATTGAATTAGTTAATTTGTTGAACTTTTATGTTTTTATTGTTATTGCTGATATTCAATCAATTCCAAAATTACCTTCAAAGTTATTACGTAAATTAAAAAAATAACAAAGTGTCGTGTAGAGAAAAAAATTACCTTTTAAATAATGTACCATTCGATCACACTTGCTATTAAAAAAAACTGGGGGTTAATGCAGTGTAGCAGGGTTTACATTTGAGGACATAAATTTTGCATAAATACTCCTCTTGGTATAAACCTTCGTCTTTCTAACTTCGCTATAAGTATTCGATTAAAAGCTGTATTTTATAATATTTATATTTACTTTAAACCTAAGCATTTATTGCGATTTAGTCTATTAATGGAAGGTTTTACCGTATAATAGATAAATAGATAAATCAACTTCTTACCTTTGACGGAACACTCTTTTTCCGTACGTTAGACCCATTCACATTATTAGGATCCATCGGGAGAGGCGGTTATTGACCTTGATCATTTGGATCAACTGTAATTAACAATATTGGTGTAATTAAACGCAAACATCTTTCATATTTATGTAAGATTTGTATGCACCACGGTGCGTATTTTGTATTTCTGGGTATCATTATTAGGCTAGGCAAACCCCCAAAAAGGTAACCATGATTTATAACTCGTTGGCAACATCGCAACCGTGCAAATTTGGAAAAAAACGTTTGTAATAAAAATCTGTACAAATTTTTTTATTAAAATATTTTGATTGGCGTGGGAGAACTTATAAATAAACAAGAAAAAAGCAAAAATTTTAATTTTTTAATTTAAATGAAATTTTATATTTACTCAAGATTCTCGGCATGGTTTAGATATTTCGATTTATAATTTTGAAATAATATTCGTATATTATAGATTTTTCCCAAAAATATAAGATATGTCTGAACTCTTAATTTTAATTACAAATTTTTTATAATTACATTTTTTTATAATTAAAAATTGTATTACAAGCGGTCTCCCTTTTGACCCAATCATGCATCTAATATTTTAAGTTTTTTTAAAAATTTTTTGTTTTAAAATTTATATATATATATATATATATATACATATATATATATATATATATATATATATATATATATGTATATATACATATATATGTATATATACATATATATATATATATATATATATATATATATATATATATATATATATATATATATTTTTTATGATATGATGTTTTGTTTGTATATGAGCAATGAGTGTTTAAAATAAAATATATGAGTATAGGATTTTTATCGCGGTTCTCAAAGAATTAGTTTGTAAGTACTTTTTTAAATTATTTTTATTATAACTATTATGAGACAGACATATATATCTAATATAAACAATATAAATTTAAAACAACCTATCTAAAATTTGAAATTCTTACAGTTATTAAATTATGTTAACAAAATTTGGTACCTTTCTATCACTGAATGCCTAAAGTTTTCCAAAATCAAAGTTATAATCACCACTAAATATCTTCGTAACCAGCCTTGGTTATCCTTGTATTTGTGAAATTGCATATAGATATTATAATTTAAAATTCTTGTAATCTCCATATAATACATTTTCAAATACAGTGGTGAGTGCGATATCAGCCGGCTTTTTAACGTAAGAGATAGAAAACACAGTTACCTTGTGAAATAAAAGGAGATGAAACTCGTAGAGGTGGGAAATAATCGATAGAAACCTATAATTTACATTACATTACATTACGACTATCGATAGTCTCACACCTTTAGACGTTACCTTCGATCTAAATCACCTCGGTCATAATTATTATGTTTGACAGTTTGACGTCGTATGTGTGACGTATTTCCATTTTTTTATTTAGATAAAGTAAAAACTGATTGACCACAATAAAGCAAAAATGTGAATAAAATAATTTAATTAATAGTGATTATTTATTCTAAAGTTTTAAATTATTAACCAAGAATAATTTCTACTATGATTTGAGGAGTTTCATACCCTCTTGTCACAGAATAATTAGCAATCCTTCGTGGATTAGTGGTAAGAATTCGACTCTGCTACGCAGATGATTAGAGTTCAAAACCTACATGAGGTTTTCTTTTTTCTTTTTTTAATAATTTGAAATTTTGCGGAGATCGTTTTGCTTTGAATCACTAAACATTTATGTCAGTCGTTACTAGTATTTGAAGTGTTTAAAGTTAAACATAAATATCTTATTGAAAAAATAGTGTCGTCGTACTTTCGAAACTAAAGTAAAATTCTTCAAAATTAAAAGAATGTTTAAATAAGTAAAAAT